AAGAACCTTTTGCGCAATGGAAAATTTACATGGATGTTAAAAGTTCTTTGTGGAACCATTGATGCCAATAAAGACGTTTTAGTTTATAATAAACTTTTAACAGATGCGTGTTTAAAATGTTATTTTTATTTCTATCCTGGGAAAATGAACATCAAATACTATCACTGACTAGCAAGTAGCAAATCCTAGTTTGGCCTTTTATCTTTAACCTTCTCATATGTGGGTGTTTCTACAACTTCAAACACTTTAATGTTGATTTTTATGAAAATGAACTGATTTTAACTTTCTTTTTTTTTCTTCTTCTTTTTGACACGAAGGTCATGTTCTTGGAAACTTTTGACCATGCATTCATCACTTATTTTTGCTGCTTTTCAAATGCCTTTATGTGTAGTTTTTATTGTTTTACCCTCGTCCCAGAGCAGATTTAATCATCTAAAAAAGAGGATCATGTGACACTGAAGACTGGAGTAATGATATTGACAATTCAGCTTTGCATCACATGAATAAATTACATTTTAACATATATTCAAATAGAAAACAGTTCTTTTAATTTGTAATAATATTTCACAATATTACTGATTGCACTGTAAATTGTGAAATATTATTGCATTTCATCCGTGGAACTAGTGATGTGCCCTACCAAGTACACTCAAACAATAAAAGAGTATTTAAAACTGCTGCAGGGACCCATAGCTAATGATTAGTGATATTTATTTCAAACACAACAATGATTGTTTAATGGCAATCGCTACAAAGATTGACTCTCACAGGCCCTCAGAGGAAGGACTAGAGTATCATAGTGCGTATCATAATTATGAAGTAGATTATGGTGCTGATGAATCTGGTGACTATTATCACCGTGCCAGAGATAATGATAATCTGTGTTGCGTCTCTTTCAGAGGGCTTCGGCCTGTCTGTAGAGTGCCACGGCTTCCATCAGCCCTCCCTAGATCCTCTCTTCAAAATCCACGCGATTAATATTTCATTTAAAGTTCAGAGCTTTCCGCATCCGTACGCAGCAAAATCACAGCTGAAAAATACAGCTCGGAGACACACAATACATCTTCCACCCTCTCCCTCCCTCCCTCCTACATGAATACTCACTCTCTGCCTTTCTGTCTTTCGCTCTCTCTGCCTATTTTCCCTTTCGTTTGCCGGCTCTCCTGCTGCCGTTTCCTCTTTTGTTCTTTCTATCTCTCCCCTAATCTCTCCTCATCCCTTTCTCCTCCTCTGAATAATACACAGTGTTAATACACTGTGCAAAGAAGCCATATTGTATTCCCACAGTGTGTTTCTGTGATCATCTTCTCTTGGCTGCACTCAGCTTTAATGAATGTTAGGAGTTATTAGCTGGCACAGACTGCCTCTGGTGAATCACACAGTCTCAGCCTTTGTTGTTTGCGTGATTCATTTTCTGTTCTGGAGCAAATTTGGCTCTTAAAAGAAGCAAGGAATCATCAGTGTCCTGCTTTATATTTCTATCACACTCTCTTTTTTGGATCTTTCTTATTCTGCCTCTCTGATATCCTCTTTCCAAAAGCATGTTTGGAATTTGTGGAATTAATAATTAGTGTTTTTGCAGCAAATACTGTAATGATGCTCCTCAAACATTCTGTTTCTAAAACTTAGGAAATTCTGCAATTAGTTTTAGTCTGAATCTATCTATCTATCTATCTATCTATCTATCTATCTATCTATCTATCTATCTATCTATCTATCTATCTATCTATCTATCTATCTATCTGTCTGTCTGTCTGTCTGTCTGTCTGTCTGTCGGTCTGTCGGTCTGTCTGTCTGTCTGTCTGTCTGTCTGTCAATGTGTCTGTCTATTTTTTATATTGTATTTTTATTTTATTTTTAATTTTTCTTAGATTTCATTTTTCATTTTATGTATTTTTTTCTGATTTTGTTTTGGTCATTTTGTGTGCTTTTTCATTTTTGTTGTTTTTAAATAGTAACCATAGCAACCACATAGCAACACATAAAACACTCAGAACACCCTAGCAAGCGCATAGCAACATGCTAAAATTGTTAACCCCTTAACAACAGCGTAGCGATGATGGTAACCATCCAAAACACCCTAGCAATCACATAGCAACACATTGGAAACCACATAATGCACTACAAATATCCTAGCAAATACTCTGCAACCACATATCAACACCCTGACAGCCACATGTCAATGTGTTAAAAACATTCAAAAACCAACTGCATAGCAACACCCTGGCAACCACCAAAAAACACTTAGAACACCCTTGCAAAAACCTAATAACATCCTTACACTCTAGCAACAGCATAGCCAAAAAATGGAAAACACTTAAAAACACCCTAGCAACCACCTAAAAATGCCCTAGTAAACACTCAGATCACTCTAGTAGCCACATAGCAACACCCTGGCAACCACAATGTGCACTAAAATGACTTAAAACACCCTAGCAAACATTCAGAACACTTTTGCAAGCACAAAGCAACACCCTGGCAACCACATAGCAATGGGCTAAACAGTATTACACTCTCTTTTTTCTGCGTCTCTGATATCCTCTTTCCAAAAGCATGTTTGGAATTTGTGGAATTAATAATTCGTGTTTCTGCAGCAAATACTGTAATGATGCTCCTCAAACATTCTTTTTCTAAAACTTAGGAAATTCTGCAATTAGTTTTATTCTGAATCACTTTATTCTATCTATCTATCTATCTATCTATCTATCTATCTATCTATCTATCTATCTATCTATCTATCTATCTATCTATCTATCTATCTATCTATCTATCTATCTATCTA